GCGCCTTGACGGCCTTTCTAAATACTAAAGTGATATCTTCCAAGAACTTTTACGTCATGACACTGGTGTGTGGGAAAATCGGGCTGGGACACTCTGACCGGTCACACTGTTGCGTGCATATTTATTTTGTTTTATTTTATTTTGTTTTATTTTATTTTGCTTTTTATTTCATACTCTATTACATTATATAAGCTTGCTATATATACCTATACATTATTAATCTTTTATAGCTACAAATTATGTTTACGTTTATTCACTGAAGGTAATACTGCTTGACAGTTCATAGTTCGCACAATCTTTAATTTTTAATCATCAATTAAAAAATTAGAAAAATTGTAAGTATAGTGATGATGATGTATATTAAAATAATTTTTCTCAGTATTATTGTTTAGTTACTATTAGTATATTCCGAATTGTTACTTATTGAAAGTGTTAAAATGTCAGTTGTAATAAGCCACTTTTTAACAGCTCACCTACGGAGTGATGTTTTTCAGTTGTCATGTTACTATTGTTGTAGAGATATTATTGTACTAATCTTCTTAACCGTCAATCAAATTTACATGATATATTAATGAATACTATGAAATTGTTGTTATTGGAATACTTGACAAATGTAATTTTGGTACTAGCCAGATAAGGTTTTACCCCATGGCCCAATAAATATATCTATCTAATCTAATCTAATGTCCTCTGGAGCGCGGCGGCTGACTTGCGGTACTTCCTCGAGCTCCCATAAGCGCTGCAGCAGCGCAGCCAGCTCGCGATGCCAAGACGGTGCGCCGTCCATGTGCAGTATTGAGCCAACAGTAAAGGCTGCCGGTTGCAGGCCAGGAGCACAGCCGACGAGGGTCCAGCCGAAGATCGTGTGCTGATCGATAATGTCGTCCCGCCAGACGGATTCCGCCCTTATTATGCGGCTGTAGACGTCGACACCGAGGAGCAGGTCCACACGACTAGGTGTACCGAATGCGGGGTCGGCCAGAGGCTGAAGACGGACCGGACGGACCACTCAACTGGACGAGAGCGGTCGGTAGCACGGCGAGTCAGGAAGAGGGCGACGGGCCCAGGTCATCGGCACGGGTTGCCCCAACGGGGTCGGCCTTCGGTCATTTTGGTGATGGCAGACCGACAGATTGGTCCGATGGCCGTCGACGGCTACTGTCGTTAAGCAGGCTGTGGTGCTGTTCTCGGCAGTGCTGACAAACAGATCGGGAGGGGCAGAACTTCAACAGGGGGCCCGTTCGGAAGCAGTTAAAACATAGTCGGGCTTGGTAGACCAAGTCTCGCCGAGCATGCACGTCGAGGCCTTGGAATCGAGCGCAATGCCGCAGGTAATGGGTTTCGCTGCAGGACGGGCACAGAGGTAGAGCTACGCTGGTTGCGAGGGAGCGATAGTGCAACCCAGAAGATGATGAAGCTGGTGGATGAATGCTGGGCGTGCTCGCTCGCCGCACTGGGCGAGATGCCTTAATGGAGCTGAGAGTTCGGCACTGTTGGTGAAGAAAGTTCCTCATGGCGGCGAAAGTCGCAGTCTCAATTCCAGCCCTTGTGTTGGTGCCCTCGAGCCGCTCGAGCTCATCCTCCCAGGCACACCAGGTAGTCGGGTCCATGCCGGTCATTACACAAGAGATTAACCAGTCATCCCACTGGAGGACAGGACAGTTCAATCCATTTTTTCAGTAGCAACGAGTCCGGCACTTTGGCTAGGAAGCTTCGCAGTGTAGACCACAATAAATAGTGAAATCACATTTGCACATTTGATAATTATTCTTAATATTACACCTTCCATATTATACATTACTCTAGCCAAACGAGCGATAAAGGGGCTATTAAAGTCTCCTTGCTTTTCCCATCCCCCAGTGACTTATCTCTTTTGTTCCTCAGGTAAAAGCGAATTTCTGGGTCAGTGCAAATCAGAGCTATCCTCTATGTAAGGTAGCTAGTAAGCCAGGGAATTTTCAGGGTATTGCCAGCTGGAGTGACCCCGGGACGTTGGCGACTTACTGTATCTGATGTAGCACAAGACAAACAATAAATTAATACTTTGCAATTTCATTGATCCTGAGAAGTTGTGTATCGCGAGTCAGGGGCATTGTAAGACTAATTACGTTCCTGCGCACTCCCACTGAGGTATCTCGTAATACGTGGTGGTGGCAATACAAACCAAACTTTGTACATACGAGTTTTTCTTGTCTTCTGTCCATTTTAAAGGTGGATCCTTAAAATAATTATATAAATGAATATCCAACGTCTTGTGAAACAACTCTATTGTAAGAGTATACATTGAATTAACAATTAAAATGTCTATATACAATTATGATCGTTACAATTGGCAATCGAAATTTTTTGGCACGTAACGCTTTCATTCATATAACATTCATCATTTAACATTAGAAACTCTGTATTAATTTTTTAAGTGGATAACCAACAATTAAGTCTTGTATAAAAAACCAATGGAACAAACATTTGATATTAAAAAGTCGCAGGATAAAGTAGATCATACAATTCTTGAAATGAAAGTACTAAAAAATGCTATAGAATTCATAAAAGTTTAACACAGATATTTAGAATCAAATGGAAAACGAAGTTCAAATAAGCCATTCTCATTTACTAAAGTTTTAAAACGCGCTATTGAAATCAATAAAAGAAAAATGTTCAATTTCTCATGTAAATTATTCAATTTCTTATGAATGAGTATTTATTATATTTCGAAAGTATATTTAAAGAAAACTTTTTTATCGGTACAATACAAAACAATATACATAAAAAGATACCATGAATCACTGAGATTAGATTGTATAAGGAATCTCATAAATTTTGAGTGCAGAACAGTGCTTTCGGCGTCATGCTATTTCCCATAATAGATATTTACGGCCTGAAAGATTGAGTGATTGTTGGCGATTATATATGAATTTAATTATTTATTTGATGTTCACGTTTTATTACCTTATGATACTATTATTTTAACTTTTTTAAGGCATTTAAATTTGGCATAGTAAATAGAATTAATCATGATAAATAGAAATAAATGTAATGTTCTTAACAAGGTATGAAACATAATTTTTTTTATGTTAACACTTCTTACGTATTGTCACAAAAATTTAATTTTTTGTCAATATAAGGCTTTATTTTCCTTAAAACAACTGGTAAACGGAATCTTACTAGAATTTTTTAATTGTGGATTACTAAATGAATATGGATACGTATAGTATGTCCCTATTAATTTCAATGATATGTTACCTCGTTTTTCAAACGAAATTTTTTTTCTGAAAAGTTTAATCATTTTGTAAATATAAGCCAACTTTAATGCCTACACAAGTTCCTTGAAAATAAAAAATACAGGTTTTTTGTTTGCTGTAAGCTGAGATTCTTACAAACTTTGCATACTAAATTTTTGACACTTATTAGTGTAAAAACCAGTTTTCGACATTGAAAGTTCTTAGAACAACCTTAGTAAGGTATAAATTTCTAAGTTTTTTTGAGCTACCAAAAAGATTAGGAAAAAAAGTTTTTAAGCCTTAAATCATTGTAATTGCTCGTTGTGTTCGTGACATATGATTGATTACACAAATACTTATACTATTCCAAACACACATGCACATGTAAATAGACTAAGTTTTTCTAAGAACAGTGATCATTCACTTTAGACTTTGTTCACTTAAGAGTGAATATTGTGAGAGAAAACTGTCGGGATCAGTGTAGTTAACGCGTTCTAATGTAGGCGCGAGGAGATGGGAGCCTGGAATAGTGGGAGCATACACACTTGGTCGTTGACTCGGGTAATTAGTACAATACCCGCAGGTGTGGGTGCTTCCTCTCCCTCTCCGGCCTCGAGCGCCGAGTATCTTTGCTGGCGAGCTCGCGTATTCGGCTGAGCTCCTTCTACTAGCACGCGGACCTTTCAAGTATCAAGTCGCTCCCGCGTAGTCGAGCTTGATATTTAAAGTCGCTGCAGCTTTTCTATGGCTAAACTCGCAACCATTGTGACAGGATCAGGGCAGCCTTCTCATCGTCGCTAACTAGTCGCCTAAGGTATAGCGCACGTCTTCTCTGAGTAGAGGTGATTTGTTAACGAATTAAAAGGATAACAGGATCAGCCTGATTCTTGGAGGCCAGCTCGTTCGACTAGCTTCATCGTCGTCTCGAGCTGAGCCCCTTTAAAGTCTTTCTTGCTTATGATTAAGTCCAAGGTCTTCTCGAACGACTTGCTACATCGTCGTCTCGAGCTTCGTCCTTTATACCACGTACTGAGATTCGTGTTTCCTCGTAGCGAACTCTTGGTCAACTTACATTTTGTATATTATTTTGTTAAATACAAATTATCATTACTTAATAGTCGATTTTTGGTTGTTAATCTCTTGCCAATCCCATATAAAGAAAGAAAGGAGATTTCTCGGAACTGGAGCATTATTATCCAGGGAGAAAATTTAAATGCGCATTTAAATTTTCGAGCATTAAAAAACATTTCTGCTCATTTCGTGACCTTCGTATCTTCAGGTCACGAAAGCAGAAAAGGTTTAAAAGTCAAAAAATAAACATGGTAGCAGAGCGTGGTTGCCCGGCTTCCGAGAAACAAATTCCTCGTTAAAATTTTCTTTAAGGTCAAGTGACGTCACTTCACAACATCGACTTATTTTGAAAATCGTCTCTAAGAGAGGGACAAGACGACTAGCAGGAGGAGAGCGACGAACGCTATCGGCGTTTCTTCTTTGTGCGGATGTTCGCAGCGCAATTGAGTACCTTCCACTTCCACACCGATTTCATCGCCCCGCTCGGCTCTACTCTCGTTGGCCTACCAGTTCATCGGCGCTTTGGATGAGGTAGAGCACCGGGGAAGGGTGCGGCAACAGAGACGGTAAGAGCAGTCGTCGCTGTTATTGTTTTTCGTTGCTCATACAGCAGCTGTATTTCAAGCTGTTTGTGTTTTATCTTATTTTTGTTTGCTATTAAGTAGCGTAACTTTGCATTAGTTGTCTTCGTTATTGATTACTCCACACACCATGAAAGAATTGTTCAAAGCACAATTGAAGCTGCAAAGCTACATTTGCAATTTTTATACTAATACCGTTGAAAAGGCCACATTAGAAAGTCGGACTGTTAGTTATTATAAAGCTCGACTAGAGTTGATAGCTAGTTACTGGGCCAAATACACTGCAAATCACGATAAGTTGATCATTGAGGAAGATGCTAACGCGGAACTTGCCTACTTCAAAGACGATTTTTATACGACTTGCGAAGCTGAATTTGCAATCGCAATGGGTCGGATACGCGATAAGATTACCGAACTCCAACCTCCCGCGCCGAGTCAAGATTTGCCAGCACCGACTTCAATAGTGCAGAATATCACTAATTCTGCGCCTCACGTTGCACTTCCTCCTATTGCATTGCCCACGTTTTCCGGTAAGCAGGGTGAATGGGAAAGCTTTAAGCAGCGATTTTGTTCTCTTGTAAAAGACAAATCAAATATCTCCCGAGTAGAAAAATTGCAGCATTTATTAAATGCAGTACATGGTCAAGCTGCACATCGTCTCAAAGGTCTTGACGTTATCGACGCGAATTTTGATGTTGCTTGGGAAAAACTTGTGCGCCGTTATGACAACCCACGTATCCGACTCTTTTCAACACTCGAAAGCTTGCTTCAGTTATCTTCAAACAAAGCTCGCAGCGCACAAGACCTTAATGAGTTAATCGATACTACCGAAGAATCTGTTCGAGCTCTTCGCGACTTAAACTGCCCAGTCGAACATTACGACAATTGGATTGTTCACTGTGTTGTCCGTAAGCTCGATGCTGGCTCTCGCGAAGCTTGGGAAGCGTCCCAGTCGAACGTGGACGGTTTTTCAACATTTAAGGCGTTAATCAATTTTTTGGAGAAGCGTATTCAAACGCTAGAACAAGCGCATTCTTATGTAGACAAATGTGAGTCTTCAAGCAAGCAATCAAGTAACTCGACACCTCGCAAATCGAATAAAGTTACCGTGAATAACGCGCAAACGGTGGATCAATCTGAACCTAAATCGAGTCCCTTGTGTGACTTATGCAAAGGTCCTCATTGGTTACATCGTTGTAGCCATTTTAATGCAAAGTCGCAGTCTCAGCGTTTGGATTTTTGTAAGGGTTCGAAGCTTTGTCTCAATTGTTTAAGAAAAGGACATAAGGCCTCTAAATGTCCGTCATCTAACCGTTGTTTCAAATGTCAACTCGCGCATCATACGAAATTGCACTCAGAAGACAATTCACAGAACAAAGGCTCAGGCTATCGGATAGGTAATTCGTTCGCTGATAACGGGTCCCAGCCTACCGGTACCTCTGCAAACTCTGACGAATCGTACAGTCATGTCGCATCACACAGTGCGTCGGTTGGAGCCTCAGTGCTTCTTGCTACGGCTAAAATCTTGATATCAAACGCGTTAGGTAAGAAGCTGACTGTTCGGGCCCTGATCGATCCTTGTGCCGAACGATGCTTTATATCGCAACGGGTAGTGCAACAGCTTAAGCTTGATTCGGAAAAGACTTCAATCTCGGTGATAGGCGTCGGTTCCGAAAAGACATCAACTTGCAAGACCATAGCTCACGGTATTTTACAATCAAGTACCGACAAAAGCTTCGCTATGGGTTTTTCCGCGCTTGTGCTAAATGAACTAACTCGTTGTCTGCCCAAAGACAGGGTCGTGTCAGGGAATTGGCCCCATCTTCGTGGTTTAATTCTAGCAGACCCTCAATTTTCGGAACCCGCGAAGGTTGATTGCATACTTGGTGCAGACATATACCCTATCCTTATGCTTGAAGGCATGCGTAGAGGACCAATGGGTACTCCGTGTGCTCAGCAGTCTGTCTTCGGCTGGCTGCTTACCGGAGCCATTTCACCCATCAACACTTACAACCAAAAGCCAGTTCGTGTATTTCATTTAACGACTGAGCCCTCGCTTTCACAGCAACTCACGCAGTTCTGGGAGATCGAAGAAATTCCGCGCAAGGCACTTTTGACTCCTGACGAACAGCGTTGTGAACAACACTTTGTCGACACACATTATCGCGAACAGAACGGACGCTTTGTAGTCCGATTGCCTTTCGCAAAGCAACCCAAGTTTTCCGGTTCTCGAGATGTCGCGGCTGCATGTTTGCGTAGATCTGAGAAGCGATTGCAGCGTGATATGCAACTCGCCGAGCGTTATCAAGCCTTCATGCTTGAATACCTGGAGTTAAATCACATGGAGCCCGTTCCTTCTCATCAGGTGCTCAATCCTGGATTTTATTTGCCTCACCATGCGGTGGTGAGACCTGAAAACCCTGCGAAAATACGCGTAGTCTTCAACGCATCGCAGAAATCGCAAAATGGTCTATCACTAAATGATATGCTTTTGTCAGGACCTAAGCTTCAAGCAGACATCTCAATAGTTTTATCTCTTTGGCGTCGATTTAGATTCGCCTTTACTACTGATGTTATTAAGATGTTTCGCCAGATAAAGGTTCATCAGGATGACGCTGACTGGCAACGAATACTTTGGCGAGACAACACTAGCAAGCCAATTCAGGATTACAGATGCATCACGGTGACGTACGGTACTTCGTCTGCTCCCTTTCTGGCTCTTCGGGTTATGAAGCAAATTGCAACTGACGGTTCACTGGACTATCCGGAAGGTGCTTCAATTCTTCGTCATACACTTTACGTTGACGACCTCTTCGGCGGAGCGGACACTATCAATGAAGCCGTACGCCGCCGCGAGCAACTGATCAATCTTCTGGGATCAGCAGGCATGGTCCTGGATAAGTGGGCAGCAAATTCCTTGGATCTGCTAGCAGGTTTGAATTCATCTTCTGCAACTGAAGTTGAATTGAATCAAAACGAGGTAAAATCTACCCTTGGTATTAAATGGCTTCCAAAGGACGATGTTTTTTCGTTCACAGCAACAGTAACTCAAGCGACTTGCGTTACCAAAAGGTCGATATTGTCTGAAGTCGCTCGATTATTTGATCCTCTAGGTTGGTTGGCGCCCATGATTATCGTGGCCAAAGTAATCATGCAAGATCTTTGGCTGGACCACATCGACTGGGATACGCCTGTTCCTGATCAACTTCATTCCCGCTGGTTTGAATTCCAAGCTGGACTCGCAGAAATACCGAGGATCCGGATTCCACGATGGCTTAACACCCTGGAAAGTGATGACTGGCAACTGCACGGATTTGCCGACGCTTCGCAGAGAGCGTATGCAGCTGCTCTATACGTAGTCATTCCAGGACGCCAACCCATGCTGCTCACGGCAAAAACAAAGGTCGCCCCCACAAAGGTCCAATCATTGCCACGGCTCGAATTGTGTGGGGCCACATTACTAGCTCGGTTGATTTCACACACTTTGGACGCAAGTCAACAACCACCAGCATCAATTCACTGTTGGTCGGATTCACGAGTCGTGTTGGAATGGTTGAAAGGACACCCATCCAAGTGGCAAACATTCATTGCCAATCGTACTAGCGAGATAATTACAAGCTTACCAACAGCGACTTGGAGACACGTCAGATCTGCAGACAACGCTGCTGATTGCGCTTCAAGAGGTGTCTCAACGGCTGATCTTGCTGAGCACAAGCTTTGGTGGCATGGACCTGATTGGCTGTCCATGCCTGAATCTACTTGGCCAACCAACATGCCACTTAGTGCTCAGACAGTTGAGGATGCGCATGCCCTCGCTGCATTAGAAGAAAGCACCGACGAAGGCGTCCCTACAGGCCCTGGATGCAACTGCTTATCAACGCTGCAGAAGTTTTCACGATTCAGTAAGATCCTGCGCATTTTAGCTTACTGCAGCTCGTGGCGTCTGAAAGCCCTTAATAAAAGTCAGTCCCACAAAAGGCTGAGTTATCAAGACTGGACTCTAGCTCGAATCTTTTGCTACCGTGCAGTTCAAAATCAACATTACAAGCAGGAGCTTAAGCAACTACAGGCCGGCGAGCAGCTCTCCAAGCGGAGCCCACTTGCTCGACTCAATCCATTCATCTGTGCTCACGGATTAATTCGAATTGGAGGTCGGTTACAACATTCACCGATTTCTTACAACGAGATGCACCCAATCGTGCTGCCCGGAGGATGCATCATTGTTAAGAGGCTCGTCGAGGAAGTGCATCACATCACATTGCACGGAGGGGTGCAATTGATGCTATCTCACATATATAGATCTCTTTGGATCACACGCGGACACGCAGTAGCTACAGGAGTCTTTAGACGATGCATACAATGCACACGCTATAGTCGGCGAAGTCCAAAACAGCTGATGGGTTCTCTGCCAGCCCAGAGAACTACTCCAACACGAGCCTTTACCGTCACTGGACTGGACTACGCAGGCCCTTTTCCAGTGCTTTTTTCCCGAGGCAGAGGCGCTAAGTCAACTAAAGGCTATATAGTCATATTTATTTGTTTTTTCACAAAAGCGATTCATATTGAAGTAGCCTCTGATCTGTCAACGAGTTGTTTTATTGCAGCGTTCGATCGATTTTGTTCACGTCGAGGAGTTTGTCAAAAACTGTATTCGGATAACGCCACCACCTTTACAAGCGCTGCAAGGGAACTGCAAGCGCTTTTCGCCAAAGCCTCGCCATTCATGGACAGTGTGACGCCGACTCTAGCAGCCCGAGGTACGGAGTGGTCATTTATTCCACCACGGGCTCCACACTTCGGAGGGCTATGGGAAGCAGCGGTGCGCAGCTTTAAGCACCACTTCCGCCGAGTAGTTGGCGATCTCACCCTCACGTTTGAAGAGCTGTCCACATTGGCTGCAAAGGTCGAGGCCTGCCTCAACTCTCGGCCTCTGTGTCCGTTGAGCGTCAACCCCACTGACGCCGTGGCACTCACTCCGGCTCATTTTTTGATGGGAACTTCTCTGCTGGCCCATCCGGAGCCGTTTAATGAGGAAAGTCAGCCCATCTCCTTCAACAACCGCTGGAGACTGTTGACCAACCTGCGCAACTCCTTCTGGCGGCGATGGCAGAAGGAGGTGCTCCATCAAATGCAACGTCGCAACAAATGGTTGAATGTTTGCCCCAATTTGACAACAGGCGACGTTGTGCTCTTGACAGATGAGCTCACCCCACCTACCCAGTGGCGTCTTGGACTGATAGTCGAAACACATCCAGGCACAGACGGGCTAGTGAGGACGGTCACTGTCAGAACTGCCAGTTCAACCTTCAAACGACCAGTGGTAAAACTGGTTAAGTTGCCAACCGAGCCAGAACTCTTAACGATTCACAATCAGATCAAAACGCGCTCGCAAGGCAGAGTGAGCAATTAAACACATTGAATTGTATAAAGACCAAGACATTCGGTAGATTTCGCGATAGGCTAGATACTGCGTTTTACTTACATATTTTTTTTGCAGCTTTACATTTTAAACGCAGCTTGATCTGCTTAAATTTTGTTATGATATATGTATATCAATTTTAATTCAAGAAAAGAAATCTTGCATTGTATAAGTATAGCTCAATATTGCTTATTTAATTTTTTGTACTGCTACTCTTAGCGTTAGTAGCCTAGGAAATATTTTCTACTCGTCACTAGGCTTTCCTATCTTATCAATTAATTTTTTTTTTTTTTTTTCGCTGAATTCGTCAAGGCGGGCGATATGTTCACTTAAGAGTGAATATTGTGAGAGAAGGCTGTCGGGATCAGTGTAGTTAACGCGTTCTAATGTAGGCGCGAGGAGATGGGAGCCTGGAGTAGTGGGAGCACACACACTTGGTCGTTGACTCGGGTAATTAGTACAATACCCGCAGGTGTGGGTGCTTCCTCTCCCTCTCCGGCCTCGAGCGCCGAGTATCTTTGCTGGCGAGCTCGCGTATTCGGCTGAGCTCCTTCTACTAGCACGCGGACCTTTCAAGTATCAAGTCGCTCCCGCGTAGTCGAGCTTGATATTTAAAGTCGCTGCAGCTTTTCTATGGCTAAACTCGCAACCATTGTGACAGGATCAGGGCAGCCTTCTCATCGTCGCTAACTAGTCGCCTAAGGTATAGCGCACGTCTTCTCTGAGTAGAGGTGATTTGTTAACGAATTAAAAGGATAACAGGATCAGCCTGATTCTTGGAGGCCAGCTCGTTCGACTAGCTTCATCGTCGTCTCGAGCTGAGCCCCTTTAAAGTCTTTCTTGCTTATGATTAAGTCCAAGGTCTTCTCGAACGACTTGCTACATCGTCGTCTCGAGCTTCGTCCTTTATACCACGTACTGAGATTCGTGTTTCCTCGTAGCGAACTCTTGGTCAACTTACATTTTGTATATTATTTTGTTAAATACAAATTATCATTACTTAATAGTCGATTTTTGGTTGTTAATCTCTTGCCAATCCCATATAAAGAAATAAAGGAGATTTCTCGGAACTGGAGCATTATTATCCAGGGAGAAAATTTAAATGCGCATTTAAATTTTCGAGCATTAAAAAACATTTCTGCTCATTTCGTGACCTTCGTATCTTCAGGTCACGAAAGCAGAAAAGGTTTAAAAGTCAAATAACAAACAGACTTTATAAAAATTTTCTAATTTATTTTTCCTAATACTTTGTTTGTAAACGATGCGAAGTCTCGTTAATAAGAAAACAAGAAGCTTAAACGTAAAGTTAGAGTTGTAACTTCTGAGTAATGATTTTTCATGCTTCTTTGTACATGCAGCTTGTGGAGCAGTGTCTAAGAACGCTTACTAATGCAGTGTTGACAAACTCAAACTCAATTGATACTTCCTACTTTAAATATCATGTGTAGCACACATAAATGCTTGTTCACTAAACAAAAGTCAGTCTCTGGTAATTTCCTGTACAATGAACACTTTTGCCTAACTAACAGAGACTGAAAAAAAAAATGCATGAGATAGAACAGTTTAGGATTTGTTACCCATAAAGCAGTATTAACAATCAGAACCTTAAAATATTTACTGTCTTTGTGGTGAAGCAAATCACTTTCAATAAAATGAAAAAATATGCATGGCCTAGACTACAAAGCAATAGTAGACAACAAGTAAATGATTGCATTGAAGATGTAATACCCTGACTTTTAAAAAATTCCTGTTACAACTTATTTTTAAATTATTTTTATTAAAACTCATACAACCTCAAAACTAACGACATTTATTGTAAGGTCTTTAAAAGTTATTAAAAAAAGAAAATAAATAATGAGTGAAGAAGTTTTAACAAAAGTTGAGGTAATAGTCTTAGTGAAAAGTATTTATAAGGTCTTACGTGAGGAAGACACCATTTTTTAATGTACATAAATTTAGTTAGCAAAGTATGAGATTATTTATTCTTCATATGACTGACGTTACTTGCTTGCGGTAACGGCATTACAAAAAAACTATATTTAAAAACATGGTACTTTCACAGGTGAGAAAAAATAATGGTGTTGCATATAAAGAGCTGTATATGTTTAATAAATTTTGATGATGAAGATCAATGATAAGAGGCTAAAAAAGTTGTATCATCACAAGTTATATCCTGTAGCACCGTTGAACATGAATTATCCCTAAAAGATTGTATCAACAAAAATATATGAAATAATATTCTTTTTAAATTAAAACAATGATCGATGTTACTTGCTGTAATAGTATAGATAAAGTAATGATAATTTTTTTAGTACTACAAAACTGTATATCAATTCTGTATTGAGATTTTTTCTGTCAACATATTTAACTTTAATATTTATTAAAAAAAAAAAATTTTTTTCTGGTAAAGTGTTTGAAAGTGTTGGAGATTTCTATAACTTCTTTACTTAAAAAAATATTAAAAGCAGACCTTTTATTCTAAGTAAAGAAGTATTCAGTCTAAGGTGTGAAAAAAGACTTTTCAGGTTAGTCTTGTCTATTATTAGGCTGTCTAAAGAATTCAGAAACGGCTGGTTCTAATTTGCAAAAAAATAGTAACTAATATTTATATTTACTTTTTTTCTTTTTTTTCACTAGTGATAATCTGATTTTTTAAGTCAGTAAAGACAACCACTTTGTGGTTTTACTGATAATCATTAGTTATCTTATTAAACCAAGATATTATTTCTTGTCTTACGTGTTATGTTCATACCTACACATTGGCGTATTTTTTATGGAGTCAGTCTGAATTATATTTAACTAAACAAGATTCCTTACAACATCAGCCACTAATGTAGTCAAGCTAAATGTTCTTAAGAAACTTGATCTTAAAACACTTTTTAATAATGACTCATAACTTGCAGTGACTTCATAAAAAAAATTATTCTCACTAATGTTATTTAAGCTAGAACAATGTAAAATGTTTTTGTTTGGTGATGTAAGATAAATATTCAATATTGTATTGTATCCAAAAATCAATGTGACCCACAGAGCTAAGAATAAATGATGTGTTTTTTTTCTTACTTATATATAAAGCAAAGTCGGTACCACAGTTATAATCGCTAACCGCGCAAACTACTGAACCGATTTCTCTAAAATTTTGCATATTGATTCTTGATGGTTCTGAGATGGTCTTTGCATAGTTTTTTTCTTAAAAAAGTTAATAACAAAAGCGATAAATGAACCTTAAAATTTTCTAAAATAATCTAGCTTTACGCTTTAGTTCAATAGGATCCGCTAGGTGGCGTTGATGTAAAATTGAAGGTAGCCGCAATGAAATTAAGTCAAGAGTAGTTATAAGATGCTCCATCTAGTTGTTGATTATCGTAGTCGTTCATTGGCAGTACACATAAAACAGAGTTATTAGTCGTGCTGCTGGGCATCCTGACTACCGATGACACTCTTCTTGTATGGACAAGCAAAATGAATTGGTTTTTACCCCAGTCAGCCAAGATAAATAAGTGCCACAGAAAAATAAGCGAGCAGAACGTCAACTTCTCCAGGAGGACTAACCGTAGACGTGTCTCGCTAGAGCATATCCTTCTCGAACACTTGAGAGTTTTGTGGCTGCACAACCATTCGGTCTGAAGCCGTCAGGAATTTTTTATTCCAAATAAAAGCCAGGAAAGACAGACCTAAAGAGTACGGGCAGCCACAATGGCCTTCTTAGTGGTTGTTTCAAAGACATACCTACAGAGAAGTTATTCTCCACGCCCTTTTTCCTGACTTATGATGAGCGGTTGGTTATTTGGGGAACGACCTGAAGACGACATAGTCTTTGGTCAGCGGCGTACTTTCCTCCAGTACAGTCTTCGTACACAGAGACTGCAAGGATAAGAGTCGAGCTATTTGCAGATAGCCCTCCATCACCGAGGACAATAATAACGAATAACAGGAAATTGTACCACTGGTCCTTTTCAGAGCAATTGGAAGTATTTACGTTTCTTACGAAACCATCAGTTTCATCGGCTATTTTCAGGGCACCTAAGTTTAAACCACCTTGCCAATAAAAACATATTTACTACGATTTCTAGAAACAATTTGTCGACTCAAAGACTATGTAAAGCGAGCCACTATCAAACCAAGTCAGTTATTGAATGGCAGACATCACGAGCGGAGTTGTTCGTTGCAAGGCTCGGAACCCCAGCAACCGACGACCCTATATTACATTAGTCTCTTGACTCTATAATTATTCAACAAAGAATTACCAATTCTCTCCAAAGTCTGTACTGGTCAAAACTAACAGCTATAAAGGAAGAGTAAGCTTGAGAAAATATAACAGTCTCCAATGGGCAAGCATCACGAATCAATCTCCCTACCTTGGACTACCAGAACGACTATGCTCTGCAAAAAAAAGTACTTTTGACACCTATGCCTCCAGCGTAATACCATGAGATGTGGATAAAAATCTCAAGAGCTCTACTACTAGCTTTATTGCTTCAGACGTTGTAGTTTTCCTCACTATCAGTCTGGTGCTATAACATCAAGCCAGAGAAGATTACCCTGAGGAATCTAGGCAGTACTGTCACTAGACAGTACACAAAAGTAAACTATGTCAAAAATCGTTAGCGGGCGTATTGAAAGAGAAACTTTTTATGCGTCTAAAGAATACAATTTAAGGTGCCAAGAAACTGACGCAGAACATTAATGGAGATTAAAAAAACATCGTTGACATCAACAAATAAAGAATCCGTTGCTTGAGAAATAAGATTCTTATTGTACTCTCACAGTAATCTCTTTAAATCTTTCAGATTTTTAAATAGGTAAAATATCTATTAGTATTCTTGTGTCAATAAAAAATGTAAAGATTAAGCTCCAGGACTTTGTTGCTGTGGTCATAAAATTGTGAGATAAGAGAAAAAAGATTTTTTTTAATCATATTTTTTGGTGAGTTTTAAGTCTTTACAGGTTAAAAAAAAGCCCTGTTCATAGATTATATGGGAGGAACATGA